TAGCCACAGTATACAGCAGCATAAGTTGGCTGGCACATGGGTGATATTCCTTCTATAGAAGTTTGTAGGGAGGGGTGATTCACCCAGGCTAGGATGGTTCCACCAACACACTGAAAAAGATAGAGGGAGTGTTTGGGTCCACTTTTTTGCTGCTGCAACTAAAAGATCTGCCCAGAACCATTTTAGGGAAGGAAAAGTTTATTTAGGAGTGCCTGGTTTCAGAGGTCTCAATCCCCAGACAGCAGACCCTGTTCCTCAAGGCTCAAGGTGAGGAAGAGTGTGGAAGAGGGATGCAGCTGACATGATGTCAGGAAGCAGAGAGAGGTGGAGCTCACTTGCCAGATACAAATATATACTCCAAAGCCACCCCCCCATGCCCCATCCCACCCCTGTCACACACTCCCCTGCCATCCCCCCACCCCCTCACCCCCTCTTCAATTACCACTCTATCCCATCAGGTGATTAATTTACTGATTGGGTTAGGGCTCCCAAAACTCAATTATTTCTTCTCTGAACATTCTTGCATTGTCTCACATGTGACCTTTTGGGGGACATCTTACATCCAAACCCCCATAATTGGGAGTCAGAGATGGAGTTAACTTTGATAGGTGAATGTCTCCCACCTTTATTTAGCTGAATGATTTCTTTGAACGAGTCTTTTCTTTCTATGAGCCAGTTTCCTAGATGGTTAAAGTGATTTCTGTCTTGTTGGAGTCAGGGTTGTTGTGGATTACATGAGATGATTTATGTGAAAGCTTTTTGTAAATGGCACTGTGGATTCAAATGTAAGTTGTTGTTATTAATTTGTCATTTGCAATGGAGAGCCTGTTGTATAACAGCTTTAATTCATTTATCATATGCAAATTAGGTGGTACTCTTGCAATCAAAGGTATTTAATGAAGGTCATGATTAGAAAGAGAGGGAACAAGTCAGGAGACTCTTTTAAGTCAGGTTAGTAGATGCCTCAAATTTCACTTATAAACTAATAAATATAATTCGTATTGAGAATTAATATTTAATGTGTCTGAAGTGTTTTACAGTTTTTGATTAATAAAAAAGGAAATGTATTTGAAGAGTACGTTACTGAGCAGTGAAACACTAGGAGTCCATTTAGTAACAAAATTACATGATGTGTCTCATTCTATATTCTAAAACACACTATTTTTAGCATCTCTTTGAATCAGGGATGAATTCCAGTTATAGGGTTCAGTAATTAAAGCAGAGAAAAATAGTTTGGGCAAGGAAATCTTTTCACTTGGGTTGGATCTGTTTCAAGATCTGTTACCTTTAAAGGCGTCCCTGATAGCCTCTGGTTTGTAGTCTTTGTGGGGTCAAGAGCAACAGAAGATCAGCCAAGGACAGTGTGTCTCACTTTTAAAAATGGGGAGTTTTTTAAAAAATTAAAATTTTGGAATCTTCTAGCTGGTAAACTTGTTGTATATGTTTTCTACACAATTCTGGACAGAGGTTCAAGGACCCTCTGGTCTCACCTTGATTTTCCTATTCTGAGCCCTGTTCATCACTTTCTGTCCACCTTGTAACACGTCCAGTTCTCTGTCTCCTCCTACTACCCTGCCTGTTCCTTTCTTTTCTGCAGTGTTCAGGCTGTCTCTGAGTATTCCAAAGAAAATGGCTTATTGATGCCAAGTGGTACTAGTCCACATTTGTATTTAATGATTGTGGATGTTCCGGAATATTGCTTAAAAGCTTTTTTTTTTTTTTTACTTGATTCTAGTCAGCAGTCTTTCCTCAAGCTGGAAACCTTATTTTATCATAAATAAGTTGTTATTGTTTTATCTTTTTATATCTATTGCAAAGAAGCTCATTAACTGTGTAGTTGAATGGAAACAACTGTCCTGTTGACTCAAATTCTCATGCATATTATGCATATTGCCTGTGCAGCATTTAAAAGTGGTGGTCAGACAGCAAGCATGAAATCATTGCGAACAAGGCATGTCTAGCTTTCTCTGGTTGAAGTAGGCAAGGAACACACATCATGATTTATTTTATTACCTAGGCATTTGGGAAAATTTATTTATTTGATAAAAGTTTTTTTTTCTTTAATATTATCTATGTACCAAGGAAGAAGGAGAATAAGAGAAAAATACTAAGAACTGTTATAGTGACAAGTTGCATTTTCAGCAGTTTGGTTTTGTTGTTGTTGTTGTAGTAATCAATAAGTGAGCAAATTTAAGACTAGAACAAAACCTGAACTTGTGAAATCATCTTGGTTCTACATTTTTCCTATGCTTATTTGTTTTGTTCTGGGCCATGCTGATCAGGAAATTGCTGTGAACTCCTGTCTCTTTAAAGGCCTGGGAGGACATGGTAGTTTTCCACTGTGGCATATTGCATGATCTGGTGGGCTAAGCCCCAGGGGCAGGTGGGATAGTGTCATCATATTGCCAAGATCAACTCTTCCAGTACATTATTAGCTCATAATAATACTTCTCCCAGTCTCATCTTTGTAGTTAGGGAAACTTGGGTATAAATCAACTGCCTTGAGTCTCCTGCAGTGTAAGCAGAGAAGCCAGCATGACTTGGAATCTGGCTCAAGGGTCTGTAGCATTCTGTGGTGGGCACAGAGAAGGGGGGAAGTGGTTGCTCCTAGGCTAGCTTGAGCAGTATCTTGCAGCAGCAGTTACCATTTCACTAGTAGGAAAGAGGCTAAGGCCTAGCAGTGGATACAGAAAATGCCAGCATTGGGCAGGCTGAGGCTAGGGTGTTCTGATGAAAACTAGGGGGAACCTATCTTAGAAAGGTAACTGGCAAGTGGAAGTAATGCCCCTATATCTTGTTCCCAGGAATTGAGTATTGTTGCCCCATAGTGCTACAGGACAGGGTGTGTCACATGTGGTGGCAGTGTGAAGAGATGAAAATAAAACTGGTCAGACATTCACTGAGAGACAGATGGGTCAGGGCAGAGAGAGACTGAGAAGGGTGAGGGCTTTTCCTGCAGGCCTGTGTGGTAAGTGTGGTTCTGAGCAGCATCTTATGGGACCAGCTGGAGAGCACTGGGCAGTCCTGCCTCAGATCCCAGGAAACTGGTAAAGTTGTAGGGCTTCACAGAATCTGGGAGACCAGGAAGTGCTGGTTTGAAGTTATAAGGATGTAGGCTTTCATTGAGTACAAAGGAAGCCTTATTTTAGATAGTGACATTTAATGACTGTGGCTACAGATCATGAACTTCCTCTACCTCCACAGTGTTCAAGCAGAAGTAGGTGCGATGTTGTGGAGGGGAGCCTCAGTACATGGGGTGTATGGTTCTCAGTCTCTTTCACTAAGTGACATTGCTTCAGTCAAATATATGGGCCTGTGCATTTCCTTGGGGATGGATGGACAATACAAGCACTATTTTAAGAGCAAGCTCTGCATCTGTCACTTGATAGCACTGTATTTACATGGTGATGAGCATTTATCTTTACATTAACTTTGCATAATCTGTGCATCTGAAAAGACAGAAATCAGTCTCTTGGTGTCACTGTTCCACATGCAAATTTTAGATTTTTCTTGTTTATTGCAGATGGAATCAGTCTCTGCATGCCTGTCCCTGACCTCGCACTTCACACTCTCAGGTCTGTGTAATATCTTCCTGTACATAGCTTCATCTTTGAGAGAATCATGGCTACATTCTGCAGCATAGTAGGAGGCTGGTTTCAAAGGGCAGAAGTATAACGTATTAAAAGATCTAACTGGATTTTATTTGTGATTCTAGAATCAGACAACATTTCATTGTTCAGGCAGTCTTATGGACAAAAGAGGGATGAAGACTATAGAAATAAGAATGGAAGAATGGGTTGATTGTTCAGTTACTTTCCCTATAGAGTTAAAACAGAAGGAACTTTATTTTATCATGCCAGCCCAATTAAACTGGGCCTTTTTTGATTGGTGAATGTAAGATAATCAAAGAGGGGTGGGGTGGGGGAATTGCTGTTATTTGTGCTACTCATATGCTTTATACCAAAATTTTGTATTTAACATTTTAATGAAATATGTTTCTCTGAAGCTCATAGTGGCTACATGTTCTATACAGTTTGAGAGTCTTGTAAGTGAATAGAATTTAATGTGTGAATAGTTAGGGTTTGAAGAGAATGTAGAATTTGAGCCTGGTTAAAGAGGTGGTGCTAGGGAATGAAGTACGGAACAGTCTTTCTGTAGAGAGCCTGTGTAAACTCTCTATGTACTAGCTTCTGATTTCTGGAAAATTCAGAGGCTTAAGAGAGATGGCAAGGACCAAAATAGTAAACAAATCCAAATACAATCAGATTAGAAGAATATCAGCAGATTAACAGTCATTTTGACACAACCTATTCTCAGGTTAAACGTTTTCACAAAAAAGATTCTTTATTTCATATTGACTCTAAAATAGTGAATAAGTAAGACTATGGGCTTATTACTAGGGAAAACCTTATTATCCTTGACCTTGTAAAATGCCTTCTAGAACAAAATTAAATATTTTATGAGAAAAATTCAGTTGTCTTTTGTGTCACTGTGCAGTGAAACATAACCAGAAAGTAATTTGTATGCTTTGGAGGTGAATAGTCTATAATGCAATTGAAATTTCCTGAACTCATGTTACTACCAGAAACTGTCTGGTCCTCCTTCCATCTTATTTTTAGAAGAAAAAAAAAAATTTAGCCGGTAGTTAATTATCCTGGCTTGGCTTTGGTCTATGGTTGTTCCCTAAATTATGATTTAATGTTAGGGTTAGTTGATAGCATTGTGCAGAAAATATAAGTACATCTTTGGTGGGATTTTTGAGGGAGGTTTCCATAAAGATAAGTTTGTTCCTTCATTCATTCTTCTAATCAACAAATAGCTAGAAGGGAGGTGGGCCTTATTGTCTGCTAGAGCATCACAAACACAAGACCAATTTAGAAATTACAGGGCAGGTGTGTTCTTGCTCCATAGGGGGGCACTGCCAGCACAATATAGAGATTAAACCACAGATGTGAACAGAATTGGAATGATGGTATTTCATGGAAACATGCACCTCTGAGCTGGCAGTATTCCACCTCTTAGTAGGGATGTTGTGTTTCATACTTTATAGCCTTGACCTATAACTTCAAAGGACTGATGCTTGTCACTTGGCAATGAGGCTACACACTTAAAAAGGGAAGTTATATTCTTCAAGATCTTTGTGGTGCCTGACTTAGGTATGTTAGCAGCTGGATAAGAAAGGGGAGGGGAGAATCTTTATTTATCCAAAAGGAGACAGCCCAGTATAGTTAAAACCAGTGACTCTAGTTGGACAAACTTGTCCTGACACTTCTTTTTCCCCCTGGCTGTGTGATCCTGGGCAAATCACCTTCTGTTCCTCAAGTTCTTCATTTTTAATGGAAGAACTTGCCTCTCAAGACTTAAGTTAAATGTATGTGAAATATTAGTATTATGATTGATCCTGACTACAGCATTTACCAAATAATAGCTAATAACAAAAGTAATAATTGTATAGACTTCCATACAAATGGAAGAATTCCTAAACATCCAGAAAACAGACCCGGTGTTGGACACTTTCCTCACTCTTAGACAGCATTAGCTAGTTGTAACCACATTAGCTAGATAAAACCATCTCTAAAATAGGTTTTAATAGGGCTTATAGTGCTGGTTACTTTCAGAATCTTCAAATCAGATCATCTGATTGATGGAAGACAAATGACGCCTGAGTAATCTAATAATCTAATCTGTATTTATAAATAAGGTGATGATTTAATGCAGATTACTTAGGGAAAAGCTCACTTTTTTCTTTTACTCTGTGTAATCAAGAGCATGCTGTACAGCTGCTCCTAAGGATGAGAAAGAAAGCTGTGTGATGCTTTTGATTTTAAATAAGCAAAATAGGATACGTGTAAAACAGAATAAAACTGAATAAATGGTCATTCTGAATTATCAAGATACTTTTCAAAGGATAGTGGCAGTCTGAACTATGTTCTCAAAATCTGTTGAACTATAAATAATTCATACATGTTCTTATAATTATTTCTACTAGACTCAGGAGTGTATTAGGCTCTTCCCCCGCCCCCTATGGAAATGGCAGTTTCTACTTTTTCTTGCCTGGCCTGCCTTTCCCAAACTTCAATCCTCCCTATCCTTAGATTCCCTGCAGTTATTTGACATATTCCAATACATTATTCTTAGGCTGTCATGTTATTACTTTTTTGCATTTACCTTATAACATTAAAATTGCTTGCATGTATCTGTCAGTTTTTTTCTTTTTTAAAAAAATATTTTTTATTTTATTTATTTATTTTTATGTGGTGCTGAGGATCGAAGCCCGTGCCTTGCACATGCTAGGCAAGCACTCTACTGCTGAGCCACAATCTCAGCCCCCTGTCAGTTATTTTCTTACTCAGTTTTGTGTGTTCAGTGTTTAAAGGGGCTGACTTATACAAGATGCTTGATAAAGTTTTGCTGAATGAATTAATGCCTATTCACTAAATTTTTCTTATTTGTATTCATTCCAAGTAAACTATAACTCTGAGTAGAAAACCGCATTTTACTGTTCATTACCTAATACTGTAGCACATAGTTAAACACTATTTGCCAGATTGCTGCATAGCCTGGTTGCTAATATACAGTATCCTGGAAATATTTTATTGGGTTCATTCAGCAGGTATAAAATCTTTACTACTACTTTATCCTTAGGTGTACTATTAAATATTTATGATATGATCCCCAAGATGTTCATTAAGTTTAAATCTTATTGTGGGAAAAATTACTACAAAGGCTCTCATCAGGTACAAGTCTTCCATCAGTGATCAATATTTGATGGATTCTGTAGGCAGTAACAAACCTTAAAATGCATGTTTTGGTTGAATAAACACATTGAGTGGTTCAGTTGAACGTACCTATAATATATCTTTAGCTCTTATTAACTATGAGTCCCTGAAGTTAATTTCAGAGTTTATTCCAGGATAGGGAGTTGAAATTGTATGGGAATTTATATACCATATCAGCTTCTTGCTTAAACCAATTAGAAAAGAATGGGTTCTGGGATTAAGACTCTCGTTAAAATTACTGAAATATGAAATTTTAATTTAAGACTTTTTTGAAGACTTGAAAACTTTTGCCTGTTGGCATTTAATTTTGTTTTTATTTTTTTCCTTTAGTTTTAATTTTGGTTGCTGTTACTACTGATATCTGAGCCAAAGTGGTGCTAACTGAGGGAATCTCTGCAACTTGTAAGTCAACAATTACATGGTAAGAATGCGTGTCTTTACCTTTTAAGCCATTTCATTTCTATAACACTATAGTTTAGAAATTTAGTTGGAAATAGGATAGCATAAAATAATGTTTTTGAATGTTTACTATTCAATTTTAACATATTTTAATATAATAACAAATTATATTTTAGAACTCTTTATCCTAATCAATAATTAGGACATTAAAAGAGAAAACATATAACTTGATATATTTATTTATTATATTATTATATATTTATTTCATGTTAATTTTTTATGGCTCTTATTTACTTCCCTATGTTCTTTATTAGTTTGCTTTTTATTTTTTGCAGTTTAGCCAATTTTTTGTTGTCTGAATCTTGCTAATAATGAATCTGTTTAAGAAGTCAAGATTTAAAAACAAACTAGTCAATTTTACTATAATTCACTCTGAACTGAGGTTGTGGTAATTCCAACTATAGCTAAAATGAGATATTTTAATTATTTGTGGATTTCATTGATCTATATTACTGTATTTATTGTATTTATTTATTGTACCAGGAATTGAACCCAGGGTGCTTAACCACTGAGCAACATCCTAAGCCTTTTCTTATTTTTTATTTTGAGATGAGGTCTCATCAAGTTGATTAGGGCCTTGATAAATTGCTGACCCTGGCTTTGGACTTGGGATTCTTCACCCTTACCTCCCAAGTCACTGGATTACAGGTGTGCACATCCACACTCAGCTATATTGCTCCATCTTTGAGAATTGAGGAACAGTGAGACATTTGAGAATAGTAGGGCAAGTCATTCCCTTCAGCTCCAACTTCTCCATATGCAAAATAATATCATTTGTCTTGCCTACATATAGAGTTGTAGAAATCAAATGAGATGCTACATGTGGAATACTTTTAATTTTTTTTCTTTTCTTTTTGAAGTGAAGGGAGCGAATAACAAGTCTTGTTTTGAGACAGTATTGAGAAAAAACATGATAGTAGAAAGGATGCCATACAAGAAGCTGAATGACTCTAATTTGGGCATGTCGTTATAGTTATTTAACATAGGAAAATTGAGTTTGATTTCTATTCTTTCTTTTTAGAGGTAATTTCTTTAAGGAATATATCTGTGTTCTCTAACTACAGTAGAATTAAGCTAGAAATAAGATTCAGATAATTGGGAAATCCCCAGGTATTTCAAAATAATCATCATATTCTGAAAACTCATAGGTCAAAGAATAAGTCATAAAGGAATAAAAAAAATAAAGATGAAAACACAGCATATCAATCTGAGAGATACACCTAAAGGACTACTCTTAGGTGAAATTTATAGTGTTAAATGCTCATATTAGAAAACAAAAGGTTTGAAGCAGTCATCTAAGCTTTTACCTTAAGAAACTAAAAACTAAAGAACAAGTTAGACCCAGAAAAAGAAGAGGAAGGAACTGACAGAGAGTAAAGTCAATGAAATGGAAAACAGCAACAAAAAATGTGGATTTAAAAACATTCAAAGAGGGGCTGGTGTTATAGCTCAGTGGTAGAGCATTTTCCAGTATGAGGCACTGGATTCGATCCTCAGCACCACATGAAAATAAATAAATAAGGGGATTAGATTGTGGTTTAGTGGTAGAGTGCTCGCCTCACACATGCTAGATGCTGGGTTCGATCCTCAGCACCACATAAAAATAAATAAAATAAAGATATTGTGTTCATCTATAACTAAAAATTATATTTTAAAAAGGAGGAGTTTTTTAAAAAAAGATATGAAACCACACTGGTTATTTGATACAGAGTAAAATTGATAAGCCTCTAATCAGACTAATAAGGAACAAAGAAACAGAAAACAGAAATTCCTATTACCAGAAAAGAAAGTGACACATCACTACAGATTCTATAGATATTAAAAGGACAATAAAGGGATATTATCTTGTAATGTATTTGATAACTTAGATAAATGGGCAGATTCCATCAAAGACACAAACTTCCCAGACTGGGGTGGTGCCTCAGTGGTAGAGCTCTTGCCTAGCATGTGTGAGGCACTGAGTTCGATTCTCAGCACCACATATAAATAAATAAAATAAAGGTCCATGTACAACTAAAAATTATTGGGAGAAAAAAAAAGATACAGACTTTCAAATTGCTGTCAAGAAAACATGGATAAGTCTCTATTAAGGAAGTTGAACTTGTACTTTAAAACACTCCTACAAAGAAAGCTCTAAGCTTACATGGCTTAACTGGTAAATTCTGCCCACCTCTGATACTAGTTAAGCACAAGCTCTTCAAAAAATGGAAGGGAGAGAACATGACGTTATTTTAGAAGATCAGTATTACCCTGATACAAAAAAAGATGTTATTTAATAAAATATTAGTAAATTGAATACAATTAATGTTACTAAACTAAGTCTAGCTGCTCACCTAACAGCAGGGTAGTTAAGTCAAGAGACAAAGTGTTAAGGCAAGGAAGGCAAATTTATTTCGAAAGTCAGCTAAAGGAGAAGATAGAAGACTTGTCACAAAGCCCATCTGTATAGAAGCTTTTTGCAGGTGCTTTATAGGTATCTTCCCATAGAGGGTGGGCCAGATACTTGCTATCTGATCCTTCTTGCCTAGTCATGAAATGTTTTTAAGTTCTTCAGATCTCAAAAACAGAGATCAGTTTTTCCTCAGGCTATTTCTGTCACCAATTATTTACATGTTACACATTGTGTAAGCTAGAGGCTGGGTAGTTTCCTAAAGGCCATCTTGTTCATTGCCAAATTCCCAATAATGAAAGAAAACATCCTAATGCTTAGTCTCATTAGTTATATACTACAAACTTCTGGAAATGAATGAAAACATTCTGAATGCTCAATTTCATTAATATGAAAAGGATAATCCATCCTGGGTAAGTGCTATTTATTTTATAAGTGAAAGATTGGTTCAGTATTTGAAAATTGTAGTTCAAAATATTAACAGAATAAACAACAGAATTTTAAAAAACCATATGGTCATCTTCATAAATGCACAGAAAAAGGCATATAACAATACTCACTATCAATTCATGATAAAAGCTTAGAAAGATAGGAATAGAAGGCAAACTCTCACAAACTTAGAAATAGGAGCTTTGTCAACTTGATATATCAAGAGATCTATGTAAAACTGTAGCTAATATTGTAATTATTGGTAAAAGACTAATGCTTTCACCTAACATTAGGTGCAAAGCAAGGGTGGTCACTTGTAATAGTAACGACAGTAACTATTCAATATAGTACTGTTAATATAATAAAGCAAGAGAAAGAAATGGCATTCTGTTAAGGAAAGACAAATAACAAATCAAATTCACAATTCACTTAGCAAGGAAGTCTAGGAAATGATGGTTTAGACTTTAAGTCTCATATAAGGAGGCGCACAGAAGGAGTTGGGAATTGATGCTGAATGCTACAGTTACCAATCAGTCAGGGGTTGTTTTGCTTGGTTTGGATAGAAATCATGAAAAGGTAAAGTGCATCTTACACTAAGGTGTTACCAGCTCTGAGTGCCAGCATCCCTTTATCCTTACCTTAGTGTAATCTTATCCTCAAGGTGTTAATAGCTGTCCCAGCCAGCTGCCTTTGCAGCCAGTGTACTATCCCCTGGCAGCTTTCAGGAGCATATCTAGTGATCAGAGCTAGCGGCTTCTAGCTGCTTTTTCTCACCTCCTCCACAGCTCTCCATTGCTCTCTAGAGTTTTAAGCAGCTCTCTGGCTGTTAGGCATTCTATAGGGCTAGTAGATCTTGTTATCAGCTTTTAATGCAAGCAGCTCATCTATTTTTTACCCCAAATAGAAATCATGCACCGTAGTAGAACCATCCCAACAAGTCTTTATTGGAAACTATATTCCAGCATAGGAGGTCTATAAACAGGACACAGGTTTCAGACTGGCCTGATGAGGAAGTTTGCTTTTTAGCCAAACAGGGATAGGTTAATACACGTGCACAGTCTCCTGTTGACTAAACTCAGGCTTTCTGCTTAGTCAGGCCAGCCTGCATAGGTGTATTATGGCTCACCTGTTCTGGCTGTTGTGGGCTGGGGAGGTGCTCCTTTTCTGCCAGAATGGGGGCAGCTGAAGGTGGGTGGAGGCATCCAAAGTGGCTACAGGTTGGAGACCTCCTTCCTGGGTGACTGACTGTAGGTTGTCTAAAGCTGCTATAGCTGAAGTCACATCTCCTGGAACCACTTCAGGACAGCTGAGCCTGCAGCCATCCTGATGACAGCTGGGTTGGACCACTGAAGAAGTAGCTGCTTGATTGACAGCCCCGTGGCTTACGTGGTAGTGGCAGGGCTGAAAGTCTGATGGGACCTCAGGAGCAGTGGCAGCATTCATTATAACCCAGTTAGATGAAGCAGCAGCCCCCAATCTCTACCTTACCAAGCCAACCATCTGTCCTTCTTCCAGGGCAGTGAGAGTCCAGAGGCTGGGCTACTGTAGCTGTCATTGGAACACACCCAGTGGGGCATGATGGTTTCCCTGGTAACCAGGAGAGCTGTGCCAGCTTCTCTGGCAATTGCATAATTGGTGGTTAGATTGTGCTTCCATGGCTAGTCATGCCTCCAAGGTAGCAGTCATTTGATGGACAAGCCCTGTTGCATTTGCAGAAGCTTTGGTGCTAAGTCCCAGTAACTCCCTCTGATGAGAATCCAGGAGTGGGGCCATTGATAACTAGTTCACCTGGGCTTGGGGGCCCCATCTCTACCCCAGTATGGCCCCATCTGTACCCAATCTAGGGCTGCTGCCTGTTTGTGTACCAGGGTAGCATCAGCTGCAGTTGTGCATAGGACAAGGACTTGACAGTGGTCAGTCAAATACCTGGGTAGTTGTTCACTTCCACCAGCTCAGGGCTTGTCTGTCATTAACAAAAAATCAAGTCAGAAAGGAGGTTCCTTTGGGGGGGGGGTCAGTTGCACTTATTGTTGCTCTCCAGCAGACCCCTTCCCACTTTTTTAAAAAGATGGACACAATATCTATCTTTATTTTGTTTATTTTTATGTGATGATGAGGATTGAACACAGTGCCTCACTTATAGG